AGACGGCGTCAACAAAAGTCGCAACACAAATAGCAAAAGCAAAATGGCGCCCCAGAAGTTTCCAAGTAAAACCAAGGGGCTGGGGTAATTTCAACCAACTAAAGACGCTGACGTTGCGCATTTGCCGTAGATTATTACAAAAGTTTAAATACACAGACAGATAGAGTCGACCCTGGGAACCTCTTGTGATTATAGTGCCGGAGCTCTCACTAGTTGCCCTCAGGTGTTGTGACTGAGTTTTGCTTGTCGACCCACAGGTTTCCGGGTGAGTTGGGAGGTGAAAGTGGGCTCAAATGGTGGCCAACTAGACGGAATCCGAACTGACACTCAAGGAGTTGAATTGAGTTCGAGTTGAAGCTTTTAAATAGCCTTGGCAGTTGCAGTTGTTTCCACAGTTTTCCCCCAAGCAGTTTCCCTTTTTGCCCCCTAAAAATTGTAAGGGGAAATGGTTGGGAAGAGAAAGTGGGTGGTGGCAGGTGGGAATGGGGAGGAAAACGTATGTCATCAGACCGCAAATTGTTTGGCCAGCAGTTTATTAGAGCCAGACAGATTGTTCTTCAGATTGCGAATTTATAAACTTGAAACGTGCTACGGGAAAGTTTTCGTGATGGGATGGAAAACTGTTTTGCTATTCCTTGTGATTAGGTATCAAATTTAAAACTAAGCTATATTCTAGTTTAAGAACTATGATATTCAGGAACATGTAAGAGATTTGTCCGTATAGTCAATTTTGGTGTATTTAATCCTGTTAGGCAAGACACCAACCTCGCAATCAACAAGGCCCAGCAATCCTTCATTAACTCCTCCATGTGAGTCCCCCGAAAATCATTCACATTTCCACTTTCCCTGGCTTTCATCTCGTGTCGTAAGGCATTAATTTAGCTTACATCCCACAATTTGCCGCCTTCCTTTGTGATTCGTCTGTTGGTGGCGTTTACTTTCGTTTTAATTTGGCAGCCCGCATAATTTTGCTATGATTTGCACTTCTTAATTAATTATTTTTCGTTTTCGGCACCCAAAGCGGATTTGAAGGAGCTGCGTCAGCATGTATGGTACCCATGTGTGGGTGCCCCGGATGGGAAAACCCTTTCCCCCAACTTACACACACGCGCCAGAAAACAAACTTCGGGAAAAACTTTCTCCTTCGTGGCGCATGTACAGAAAAGGGGTTATTAACCGGAAGACGGAACCCGAGAAATTCTTCCCTTTGTTTAGGCACTGCGAACAAGGAAATTTGCTTGAAAAGCTCGTATCTCGATGTCCTTTGCCTGGATGCATGTAAGTGAAAATTCCCATTTGTTTTTCGACCCCATCCTTTATCTTTATCCTTTCTTAACAGAAGAGACTTCAGCTTAACTTCACCATTGGCATTAAAATTAAAACGGTTTCTTTCTTTTTTACATTTAATGAACATTTTTACGTGAGTCAAGGTAATATTTATAAAAAAATACTAGTTTAAATACATTAAATATATATATTTATTAATTTAATATTCTACTTTAATAAGTTCTATATACCAACTCCTTAAGGACAACCTATAACCCTATATCTACTACTTAAATCCGATTAATAACCATTTTAAAGGTACAACGAAGTGCCTTAATTGGTTTAACTAGAACTTTAATTTAGAGGCCACGTTTTGCGATAACAATGTTATCTAAGGGGATTTTTATTACGTTCCATTACTTGTTAGCTGGCTTACCTGCCGCCCGCTCTGCGTATGCGTAATATTGACAAAAAATCAATGCAATAATCCGCATTCAATGGAAAAGGCTTAGCTCAGCTAAATCCCCCAGCTCATGGCAATTGACAGGAAGTGAAGCGTTGCCGGAATCCAGAAACAGACATGGCAAAGCGTTTTTTTTTGTTTCACCAGCCACCCGATGCTTTTTCTATTAGTTCTGATTAAGCTTTTGTCGATTCGTTCCATTGTCAATTGCATTTGGCGTTGGCTTTGGCTTTGGGTTTGGCTTTGGCGTGGATGCAAATTGGGATCCGACAGCTGCTCATTACTTAGACGCTTAACCACGCGTCGTTTTGGATTTGCATTTGGGCGATTAAAGTTGCGCCCGGACGCCACCTGGCGTACGGAAATTGAAAATTTCGCGAGGGTGCCAAATGTCAAAGTGCCAGCAGCCACACCCACAATGCACCGCCCACAGACACGGCCCACATAGCCCACAATCACACGCAAAAGAATCCGGCGTTCGACATCTCCATTCGAATCACCATCTCCATTGGCATCGGCAGCGCCATCTCTGTCGCACATCTCGCATCTCATCCATCGCCGGGGCATGTAAATTGCTCTGGCAAACAAATCACGTATACGTACACTGCGAGAAAGGTTTGTCTCCAACGAATGAGTTTATGACTTAAAATAAACTGACTTGTTAAGTGACTTACAGATTTCAAAGAAGAATAGCTCTTAATTTCATAAAATAACATTAATATATCTAATAATTTAATTACTTTCAAGCTCGGCTAAAATACATAAAAAAGGGTTTACTGTTTCCAGAATTTTTTCTCCCTATGCACAACGAATACGCCATGCGATGCTCTCCGTTCTCGTTCCGTTGTCGTCATATCAAAAGCCAGAAAAGGCTGCTGGATTTTTGCGGTCTGTAGCTGAAAGGCTAAGCAACCGCATTGAGTGACTGAGTGCCGTTATTTGGCCAAGTCCCCGTTCCGAGCCCCGGCCCTTTCCTTTCGGGGGACGGTATCCTGGAATCAGGGATCCAGGGGCCTAAGCAACCACAACCGGAAACGGGTCCGACCAAACGTCTAGCTCGCTTTGTCTGCTTGGATTTCTGCGATGTACTTCCACATCCCCATGCACACGCTTCCTGTGCGGATTCGATATTCGAGTCCTTAAAGAATTTACTGCACCATTGGCATGTGCATGTGGAGTCCTTTCGATCTAAAGTAAATATTGAAATCAGCAGCGAATGATATTGAAATGTTAAACAATTTTCAACAAAAAACAGATTTTCTCCTTTTCGCAAGACAAATGCTTACGAAACGAAGTCAAGGGTTGACACTAAAATATTTTTGGAACATGCAATATTTAAAATTGATAAAAGTGCTATCCTAGCCAGGCTAAACTTAATAATATTCTGTGGTTTTTAAGGAAGCTGAAATTAACCAAGTGCACCAAAACCGCCAAACTCGCTAATCATTCTGCAGACCCTAATGAAAAAGTCTTGGTAATTACTTGAAAATATGCATTAAAAACTTTTCGCCCGCAGCGGCAGTAGATGATAATAAAGCAGGAAGTGAAAGGAAGTCGGGCACAGAAGTTGATATTGATTCAATTAAAAGAAAAACTCGACAAGGCAATGATGCAACAAATTAAAACGCATACGAAGCGAGCTAATGAAATTCTAAGGCTCAGATGGTTAGGAAAAGCCACCTACCACAAAGGAAAGGGGCTGCTAAATGGGAAAGTTAGGGGCTTTCCCTTTCCCTTTCCCTCACCCTTGCTCTTGCTATAGACAAGGGCGGAAATTACCGAAAAATTGTGCCGAGTAGATGAACAACAACAATAAACTTGGCCCAAAAAATTAAGGCAAGTGGAGTTAAAAGTTAAGCTAACAAATGAAGATGGTGGCTGGTAGTGGAAATGGGACAAGGTGGCGGTAGATAGAAGAAGTAGGGCGTAGGGCAGAAGATTCGGATAAATGGGAAGTACAGGGGGCCTGAGCTTGACGTACGGCCTATAGCACATACATATACACAGAAAAAAAATTCAGAATTTGGAAAGAAATCTATTATCAGTTTCATGTATTATAAAGATTTGTAAGTTTAGCTTAATAAATGTGCAGTTTAGATTAATTAAATGATAAATTGTATTTTGATATGTAAAATACGCGTTCCAAAACGTTTCTTTCTGTGTACATGTGAGCACACACCCTCACACAAACTCACACATGAGGCACAAACACAGAGACAGATGCCGGGGCCAACTTCAAGCGCAATTTTACGCAACAACAAAAAGTTTAATTGAGGATAAACTTTGCTGCGTTTGCGCTGCTGTTGAAAATCAACCAACGTCGACATGGAAAATTTCCCCAGCCCCGACCAAATCCTGGGAAAGTTTGCGAAGGGAGGGGCAGTGAAAAGAGGCTTTAGTAGTGTAGGAATTGCGTGTATGTTTGCCTCTTATCTCTTTTGCTGTTTAAGTTTTCGCTTTCTACTCGGCATTACTTTCTTAATTTCCTTTTTTCAGATGTTGCGTTGTTTGCGGCCAAACGTTGGCTTTAAGTTGGCCATATCCGAGATGGCCTTAAAGCGAAAAGGGGAAACACGAAAATAATTCGAACATTTATTGGTCATTCATTGCGCTTCGCTTCTTGCATTGTTTGTCAAATGCCAAATGAATGGCAAATATCGACGAAACGGAAATGAAAAACGATTCGACCCGAGAGTGGCCTTCTACACGACCTCACCCAACCATCCACTCAACCCCCCATTTATCCCCGGTAAAAACACACACACACTACACCCATGTGCCATAATTCGTCCTTAGAACCAACCGTAGACGAAGCCAATGTGGGACAATGAAACACAAATGACCTGAATAAAAGCGACGACGCGACACAAGCGATTGACTCTACATGTGTCCCCGCATTTTTTTAGGGGAATCGGAGATCTGATAGTATTGGATGCAGGAATACAGCTTAAAGTGGACGACTGAATGACAGAAGTATCAAGGTATCCTGGTCATGTTCCAATGCCCTGTAAGTTTGTATAATATGAAAATGCGTTGTTTTATATTTACAAATCACTTCATGGTAGCCATTGTATAATGAAGATTTATTCTCTACAAAAACTTGTTAAAATATTTCTGTGTGTGCCAACCATATTTACTTTTGGAAATGTAAGTTTTCGCAAAATAAACATATACTGTCTACTTATTTCTGTCAAAGGACTTCTCCCAAATACCCTTTACAAAATACATGAAAAACCAGCCGAGTTAAACCAGCTAAGAAAAAACAATGCAGTTTTTAATTTTAACGAATTTTATTAAGGGCTATCAGTCATTGGACACACAAACGGTTGCTTAATCCCTGGGGTCTGAATGTTTTTTCCTTTACCACAAAGCGGGCGCGGCATAGTTCAAAGGTGCTGGGGCATAAGCCAATGGAGCGGTGTATTTGGCCAGAACAGGCGCAGCATAGGGATGGGTGTACGGAGCAGCGAAGGGTGTGGCAATGGGAGCAGCGAATGGTGCAACTCTGTTAAGGATAGGAGCAGCCAGGGGAGCAGCCAAGGGAGCAGCCAGGGGAGCAGCCAGGGGTGCAGCCAGGGGAGCAGCCAGGGGAGCGCGAAGAGGAGCAGCAAAGGCAACAGGAGCAGGAACGGGAAGAGGAGCAGCCGCTAAGGGAGCAGCGAGGGTCCTCAAAACTGGAGCGGGAGCCACTGGAACTTGGGCGACCACTGGGGCAGCGGCAATGCCATTGAAGGTCCTGGCCACAACTTGGCTGCTGGCGGCAGTGACGACTGGAGCAGGAGCAGCGATGACAGGAGCTGGAAGAGCTGCCAGAGGAGCGTGGAGCAATCCTGGCTTACCAGCCACACAGGCAATCAGGGCGCAGATGACAACGGCCTGAAAGAAAGCCAAATATCAGTTAAAAATACTCTTTGAGTTACTTAGAAATCAAAAACTAACGTATTTGAACATGATGGTTTTTGGTTTTTGTTTTTTGATTTAAAACTGAGCTTGGTTCGAAAGCAAAGAGCTGACTGATGACAAACGAAGGCAGCCCGCTGCGTATTTATACCACTGACTGGCGCACGCGGCGGCTACTTAATATTCCGGGAGCGTCGAAGCCGTTGGCCCATTATAAGTGTCTGAAAAATATTAGTTGGTAGTTTTTAAGTTTTAGGTCTTCGAGGGACACTATAAAACCCGAAGGGCAGCCAACTGCACTCGCTGGCTAATTATACAGAAAATTGGTTTTAAATGCAATTTCGATTTCATGCGGAATTTACCGTACTTGGTTGATTTTGATGATGTGCAATGCCAACCAACAAGTGGGTTAATGGGTGGCTACGTTTATTTCCCAAACAGTTTTTCAAGTGCCCGACTTTCGAAATGGTCACTTGGCAAGACCGGTGACCGCAACCCTTGGTCAAAATTTATTAGTTCTCCCGGTCAGAAGCTAAGCAAAAATAGTGATAACAATAATTCAAGGGAACAGTTCTCTCACCTGGACCTAACCCTTTGTTTTTGGCCACAGGCGTTTTCATTGAAAACCTGTTGGCAGCCACAAAATTTATATATATATAGACTAGTCCAGGCTTCCCGGCCAATTAAGCATTTTGAACACGTGCCGACTTTGGTCAGCAGTGGAAAGCACACATGAACACACTCGAATGATTTTGGGAACTCCTATGCCGGACGGCGACATTACAACATTTATTGTTTTGGGCATCCGGGTCAAGGTTGGAGTGCGGTTGCGGTTGACTGACCTTTGATATTTGTTTAGGCCGTTAAAGGACCAGTGGCGCAATTGGACTTGAAAGTAAACAAAATGCCAAGCCAAGGAAAATTTGTTGTTCTCAGTGTTTAAAAAGTTATTCATACTCGCCAAAGCTAAGCTGTCTACATAAGCAATATTTCGGATTTTTAAAAAATCTTATTTTTTCTATGACATGTTAAGGATGTATTAAGTTTTGATGATGTTATGTTGATATAGTAAGTTTATTCTGATTTATGACTTTATTCGATATAAGATTTATTTATTATTCGAAATAATCAAAAATATATAAATTCTATAAAGACATCAACAAAGACAATAGTTGTTATTGATCTGTTGAGATGAGTTGATTTGAGTTGATTCAAGAACATTTAAGCTTAAGTAAAAAACTCTTTCAATGGGCTTATAATCATTTGAATGAAAGAATATACGAGGTGTGTTCAAAAAGTAAGGTGACTCTTCAAATTTCGCGAATTTCAAATTTTTCGATTATCGAAACCTTTTAGAAGTTATACGAGGTGTGTTCAAAAAGTAAGGTGACTTTTCAAATTTCAAATTTTTCAAATTTTTCGATTATCTTCAGTTTTGGGAACAAGAAAAAGTCACATGGGGCCAAATCCGGTGAATATGGTGGCTGAGGCATTATTGTGGTGTTGTTTTTGGCCAAAAAATCCAAATCCTTTGATCCATATTTTTCGATAGCAAAAAATCGCCGAGCTCGCAAAATAACTTGTAACTTTACGCCTCTCACAACCAAACAAAAGAGGATGTTCCATTGAAACTTGGTACAGATGTTAGGGAAGAGTGTACCAATATAACAAAACAAAAAAATCGATAATCGAAAAATTTGAAATTCGCGAAATTTGAAGAGTCACCTTACTTTTTGAACACACCTCGTAGAATAAAAATGGTTTTGAAAAAACTATTTTACCCAAATGCGAGAATATAGTGATAGGTTTAGTAGGTACTAATTGCAGCACACAATTTAAGAGAAATTAGGCTACAAAATTTATAATTAAGCAGAAATTGTAATTCAAATGTCATTCACTTTCAAACGGAAAACAATATTTTCGATTTTGTATAAACAACTATTTTATAATGGTTTCGTTTCATACCATCAAGTCTAAGTGTCTTTATATTTAGCATTCCAACTCGTTAATGCCATGGAATGGTCTTGAAATGTTTTTTAAAATATTATGTGGAACCTTGAAGAGATTTCACTTTCAACTCCATTTAAGATGCGAAATCAAACCTAAGCGTACGTGGGAATACAATCGACTATAGCACGCTTATTACAGTTAGCCGGTGAGGTGGCCGTCTGAATTGCTAATTCTCTGGCGGGCAGTCACGTTCTCTTTCAAATCCGTCATAAAAATAAATTGAATCTATTGACCGGTACTATGTAGAAGTGCATTTTTACCTTAAAGAAATTACTAACTAATCAAAAAGAGCAACAGAGAGGCAATTTAGTCTGCAAACAGACTCAAAACTTGGTATTTTGATACCAAAAATTAAACAATCGTCGATTGAAGGTAACAAATATATAATTTTAGATTTTTCGGTTTTTTAAACAGGTTAAAATTAAGGATTTACCCTAAAAATTACTAAACATATATTTAGCAAAGTTAATGATTCATTTAAATCTAAAAATAATATAAAACATGAAACTATATGAATCTATGAATTATATTAATGTTACGATTAACAATAAATGTATTTATACCCGTTAATCGTAATGTAAAAGGTTATACTAGATTCGTTGAAAATTATGTAACAGGTAGAAGAAAGCGTTTTCGACACCATAAAGTACATATATTCTTGATCCGTCCGTCCGTATGTCCGTATGAAAGCTCAGTTCTCAGGAACTATAAGAGAGACAACGTTGAGATTAAGCATAAAGGTTTATTTCAGCATCCTGCCTTTCCCACTCTAACGCCCACAAATCACGAAAAACTAAAATCGTTGAAATCTCAAGAACTATTAAAGATAGAAAGTTGAAACTCAGTATGTATAATCTTTAGATGCCAGCGCATCTTATAGTGGTACCATTATCCGGCCACGCACACTCTGACGCCCACAAACCACAAAAAACTGTGCCGTCCATAATATCACAGTGTATGTTACAGTGTATGTCAGTTACTCAACATGCTTTCTCTGACAATAGGCGGCGCTTTGTAATTTCTACTAGCAAAATGAATATTTTAAAATTGTGTAAAACAGTAACGGGTATCTTATAGTCGCGGAACTCGACTGAAGCGTTTCTTCTTGTTTTTATTATAAACGTAAAAATAGGATGGATAGGATAAGATTAGTAAGCTACTAAGTAGTTATGCAGATAATTATATCAGAAAGTTTCATCTCATTATGATTAAAAATATTTTTAGCTTTAAAGGCATGTTTAGCTTACCGTTTTCGTTTTTTTCAATTACCCTTAAAAGTTCATTAGCCCGACCTCGACTTCTCTGCGACCTTGGCATAATTACATATTTTTGCCGACAACAACTTCAAAACAAACCATTTTGGCCACTCTTAAATATCACGCATCCAGCGACGGCTGTCGGTGGCCAATAACTTGTCCATTGTCTACGTGAGCTGCATCCCCAAATAGGCAGTGGACTACCAGTAGGCCGTCATTACTGTTGTTTATGGCCACGATCTGCTGACAGCAGCTAATTCAATTTAAATTGTCCGGCAGTTCCACAGTTCCCTTTCCCCATTAAAACCCTTGTAACTCTTATAACTTTCGTCAATGCTTTTATACCCGTTACTCGTAGAGTAAAATGGTACTTAAGACGTTGGAAAGTATTTAACATGTAGGAAAAGCGTTACCGACCCTATAAAGTATATATATTCTTGTTTAGGATCAATAGCGAAGTCGATTGAGCCATGTCCGTCTGCCTGTCTGAGATCTCAGGAACTATAAGAGAGAAAAAGTTGAGATTAAGAATGAATATTCTTGAGGTCCATACACAGCGCAAGTTTATTTCCTGCCATGCCCTTTCTAACGCCCACAAATCGCGAAAAACTAAAATAGCGGAAATCTCAGGAACTATTATAGCTAAAAAGTTGAAATGAAATATGTATAATCTTGAGATGCCAGCGCATCTCATGGTACCATTATCCGGGCACACCCACTCTTACGCCCACCAAACTTAACAGGCGGTTTTCGCATTTTGTAAAAAAGCTGATATCTCGGTAACTATATGTGATAAAAATCATGTAGGCTTTTAAGATGCCCCCAATGCGAATTGCGATAAAACCAGAAAAACGAAAAATGCAAAAATCTCGAGAACAATGAGATGAAGGGAGAAGTCTACGCCAGAGGAGCATCAATGAATCCTGGCTTGACAGCAACGTAGGTAACGATGGCCAGGATGACAATACCCTGCGAATTAGAAAAACATTTAGTAACCAAAGACAGAGGGAAAACTCTTCAAACTCACGGATTTTAATATTTTAATGGTTGATTTGAATGGTGCTTTCGGTACGAAAACTTACTCGGCACCACTAGACTACGCCGCTGCTCCCGGACCACTCCTCATCTAAAAATATCAGTAATTAACAACAATAAACCGAAACCAAATACTAATGATGGCTTTTAATTTGAATATATGATTGTTCTTACATGTTTTCTCTTTATTTGTAAGCGTCCATATCGTTATTTATCCATCATTCTCCACCACCATCCAGAGTAAATCCGAAATATAATTTTTTTAAATAATTTTTTCTATCGATGCCGGATTTCGTTCTCGAGAAGTATGCTTATTCCACGTGCCGCCGACTAAGAAAATATACCATTTCCACAATCTTCTATAATAGTAAAAGCCTAAGTTGGCGATCACGTACCTAAGCGCACCATTCTCCTCAAAGCCAAACTTGGTGTACTGATGTAAATAAATATTTCTACGACTTACTATATAGCCTGGCTGGGCACGGTTATTTATGTTTCTTCTCTAAGTCTAAAAGAGCTCGACACAATTCTATCTTGTTTGAGTTAAGATTTACATATAACGATACGCACCTGGACGATGTCTTGCTATAAGAAACTATAAAACTATATATGTATGTATATACATGTACATACATGCCTTGTTAACGACATATCGTTCATTTTCGTCCGCTTCTAAATCTGTGTCAGATAAGTCATTCGTATTGGGCGTTTGTCTTTCCCTATTCGATAGTGAATCCACTTCGATTTTCAAATGACGATGCATCACACTAATTTTTCAGATCGTAAATTTCATTAGGTAAGCCAAAATCCCATTGGAGTTGCCACTTATGAGTTGGCATTTAATATTACTTATAGAAACATAAAAGGCTGATAGGCAATCGTGTCAATCGACACGTGAAACGTGAAATTTAAATTAATAGACCCACGTTTTGCCTTTACAAAATTCTTAATACGGAAAATAGTTTAGGTAATTTGTACCTTTAAAATTCTAAGCGGGTTTAATTCTAGATCTATCTCTATGAAAAAGAAATAAGAAGAAAGAAAGAAATAAAAGAGAATAGGAATAAGCCGAGTCTACAAGTAAAGCCTTGTAGATTGGTTAAGTAAAGGAACTATAGACTTCTTTCTAAATTTTTATTGTCCTAAGTGATCACAGTTTAGAAGTTCAGATGAGGAGTGGTGCGGGAGCAGCGGCGTAGCTAAGTGGTGCCGAGTAAGCCAGAGGGGAAGAATAGGCCAATGGAGCAGCCAGAGGAGCTGCTGCGTATTTGGCAACTACTGGAGCCACGGGAGCAATGACTGGAGCAGCAGCGATTCCATTGTAGTTCCTGGCGATCACCTGGCTACTGGTGGCGGTCACGACTGGAGCAGGAGCAGCCACTACTGCAGCTGGAGCAGTGTAGGCTAGAGGAGCGGTATAAGCCAGCGGGGAAGTGTAGGCCAGAGGAGCACCAATGAGTCCTGGTTTGGCAGCTACGCAGGCAACAAGAGCGAGGACAACAACGGCCTATGAATAAATTAATTCAATTAAAATAATCCACCATGGGTCCTTTCTTAAAGGTCTTACGTATTTGAACATGTTGGATATATTTCTTTGTTTGCTTCTTCGGAAGGCTAGAAACTGTTTGATATCCAACTGCTCTTGGAGGCGCATATTTATACCCAAAACACTGCCCAGCTCTGCTCTGACTCATGATCGTACGCATTCAGTTCATTTAAATGCTGCTACAGTCTCCCGTTACCATTTGCACTTTACCATAGTTTATGTGGTTTCCCACTGCTGAATGTGGAATAACTCTTGGTGGCCACCGAATTCGACGGCCTGAGGTCACAGACGCAGTCTCGTTTTGGTGTATAAATAGTGACATGGAAAGTGTTAAACGACATCAGACAAGTTCAAGTTTTCGAACAGAAAGCAACAATCAAATAAACCATCAAAATGTTCAAATCCGTGAGTTTAAGGAGTTTTCCATCTGTCTCGATTCCTAAATGTTTTTCTTCATCCGTAGGCTATTGTCATCCTGGCCATCGTTGCTTGTGTTGCCGCCAAACCAGGACTCCTGGGTGCTCCTCTGGCATATACCGCTCCTCTAGCCTACACTGCCCCCGCAGCTGTCGTGGCTGCTCCTGCTCCAGTCGTAACAGCCACCAGTAGCCAGGTGATCGCCAGGAACTTCAATGGAATCGCTGCTGCTCCAGTGATTGCTCCCGTAGCTGCTCCAGTGGTCGCAAAGTATACAGCTGCCCCTTTGGCCGCTCCATTGGCCTATTCTTCCCCTCTAGCTTACTCCGCACCACTGACCTACGCCGCTGCTCCTGCACCTCTCCTCATCTAAATTTTTAAGACTTGGTATGAATAAACTGAACCCAAACCGGAAAACTATGTAATCAGTCTTTTATTTCCGTTTTGTTGTAGACAAAAGAGGTATATTGAAAACATTCATCAAAAGCGGATATTCACTATTTCTTTTATGCTTAAATGCGGTAAACGTCGGAATAGTTTCCAGATCATGTCTAAGCATTTTATCGTCCTCATAAATTGTTCAAGGAAAAACCTTTGACCAAAGTGGCCTGACTTCGTCAGTTGATCTTAGGCGTTAATAATAAAAGCACTCAAGGGGACGACTAGACTGAAGATACCCCTTGGGGCGGAAACTCTTGGCATGGGATTTCTGCACTGTCATATTTTGATCAATGATATCTTCAAAGCCCCTAAGGCGAACTGGTGGGTGGTTGGAACCCCATTGATGATTGATTTCTTTTCAATCTTGTTTATCTTCTTCATCTGTAGATATTAAAGCTAAAATCACTTCTTGCGGTCTAAGAAAAGTTAGCTGAAAGTTTTTCGCTGTCTCTTCTGTTAACAACAATGTCTTTATCAGGCTAAATTTTATTTAATATTTCCTTACATTCCTTACAACTTTTAATAACGTGCTAGTAAGACTCTTGTGCTTCGATAACTCGCTAAGAATATTCTGGTTTTACCAACAGTCCATAGCTAAGCTCAAGAGCATTTAAATCACTCAGAAGTTCGTGGAGCCGTTCTGATTTCATCTAATCATTCATGGATCGCTTTTCTTCAGCCACAATAGTCCTGTGACAGAAACGACTTGTTCCTGACTCTTTCCGTCCATTTCCCACTTGATAATGGCATCAAGAGGGGAAACTTTGAGAATTTACTATTTTTGGAAGTGGAGTATATCATTTGTCATGTCTCTCCATACAACTCTACAACTGATTATACAAACGGTGGACTCGATATCGACTGATGGTGTTGGCGTTTATCCCCTGGGTAATTTCTATTCCGTCTTTCCGTCTTAAATAAATACATATTTATTCGTCCGATTCTTAATCTGTGGCAAATAAATCCGCTTTGATTTTCAATTAATTAACGACGCATTGTGCGAGAACATAACCACACGAATTTTTCAGCTATCAAATTTCCTTATGTATGCTAAAATCCCATTAGAGTTGCCACTTATTTTTTGGTAGTTAATATTACTTATCGAAATATAAAAAGCTGATAAGCAACCATGACAATCGATTAATTTACGTGAAATTTAAATTAACAGAGCCCCGTTTAGCCTTTAAAAAATTTTTAATGCGGTAAATAGTTTATGTAATTTGTACATTTAAAATTTTAAGTGGTGGTTGAGCAACTAAGAGTTTTTAACTGCTTTAGAATAAATAAATCGGGGCAGTTCAATTTCCAAATTTTTATTACGAGTTCAAATCAAAGCCAAATTAACTCCGCAACAAAAGCTTCTAGCTACAGCAGTTCTACAAAGCTCCCAAAAGCGCACGCGCGTCAATGTAACAGTAAAGCGCATGCGAAACGGAGATAATCAAAACAAACTAGAAACTGCTGATAAACCCGCCGCTGCTCATCCGTCTTTGGTTTGACTGCTTGGCCCAACAGTGGTTTTAATTCTAAGAAACAAAGTTCTAGAATGTGTATCGAGTGTTGTTCAGATTGCTGGAGATCTACATATCTCTATGAAAAAGAAATAAGAAGTGATTTGGCTTATTCCTACTTTCTAAGCATATTCCTGAAGAATAACTATTGTTTTAAGTAAAGCCTTGTAGACTGGTTAAGTAAAGGAACTATAGACTTCTTTCTAAATTTTTATTGTCCTAAGTGATCACAGTTTAGAAGTTCAGATGAGGAGTGGTGCGGGAGCAGCGGCGTAGCTAAGAGGTGCCGAGTAAGCCAGAGGGGAAGAATAGGCCAATGGAGCAGCCAGAGGAGCTGCTGCGTATTTGGCAACTACTGGAGCAGCCACGGGAGCAATGACTGGAGCAGCAGCGATTCCATTGTAGTTCCTGGCGATCACCTGGCTACTGGTGGCGGTCACGACTGGAGCAGGAGCAGCCACTACTGCAGCTGGAGCAGTGTAGGCTAGAGGAGCGGTATAAGCCAGCGGAGAAGTGTAGGCCAAAGGAGCACCAATGAGTCCTGGTTTGGCAGCTACGCAGGCAACAAGAGCGAGGACAACAACGGCCTATGAATAAATTAATTCAATTAAAATAATCCTCCATGGGTCCTTTCTTAAAGGTCTTACGAATTTGAACATGTTGGATATATTTCTTTGTTTGCTTCTTCGGAAGGCTAGAAACTGTTTGATATCCAACTGCTCTTGGAGGCGCATATTTATACCCAAAACACTGCCCAGCTCTGCTCTGACTCATGATCGTACGCATTCAGTTCATTTAAATGCTGCTACAGTCTCCCGTTACCATTTGCACTTTACCATAGTTTATGTGGTTTCCCACTGCTGAATGTGGAATAACTCTTGGTGGCCACCGAATTCGATGGCCTGAGGTCACAGACGCAGTCTCGTTTTGGTGTATAAATAGTGATATCACAAGTGTTAAACGACATCAGACAAGTTCAAGTTTTCGAACAGAAAGCAACAATCAAATAAACCATCAAAATGTTCAAATCCGTGAGTTTAAGGAGTTTTCCATCTGTCTCGATTCCTAAATGTTTTTCTTCATCCGTAGGCTATTGTCATCCTGGCCATCGTTGCTTGTGTTGCCGCCAAACCAGGACTCCTGGGTGCTCCTCTGGCATATACCGCTCCTCTAGCCTACACTGCCCCCGCAGCTGTCGTGGCTGCTCCTGCTCCAGTCGTAACAGCCACCAGTAGCCAGGTGATCGCCAGGAACTTCAATGGAATCGCTGCTGCTCCAGTGATTGCTCCCGTAGCTGCTCCAGTGGTCGCAAAGTATACAGCTGCCCCTTTGGCCGCTCCATTGGCCTATTCTTCCCCTCTAGCTTACTCCGCACCACTGACCTACGCCGCTGCTCCTGCACCTCTCCTCATCTAAATTTTTAAGACTTGGCATGAATAAACTGAACCCAAAACGGAAAACTATGTAATCAGTCTTTTATTTCCGTTTTGTTGTAGACTAAAGTGGTATATTGAAAACATTCATTAAAAGCGGATATTCACTCTTTCTTTTATGCTTAAATGCGGTAAACGTCGGAATAGTTTCCAGATCATGTCTAAGCATTTTTTCGTCCTCATAAATTGTTCAAGGAAAAACTTTTGACCTTTGGCCTGACTTCGTCAGTTGATCACATAATCATGAGATAGGGCCATATTGCTTATGGTTAGCGGGACTCTTAGGCGGTAATAATAAAAGCACTCAAGGGGACGACTAGACTGAAGATACCCATTGGGGCGGATACTTTTGGCTGGGATTTCTGCACTGTCATATTTTGATCAATGATATCTTCAAAGCCCCTAAGGCGAAGTGTAGATGATGGTGGGTGGTTGGAACCCCATTGATGATTGATTTCTATTCAATCTTGTTTATCTTCTTTATCTATGGGTATTAAAGCTAAAATCACTTCTTCCGGTCTAAGAAAAGTTAGCTGAAAGTTTTTCGCTGTCTCTTCTGTTAACAACAATGTCTTTATCAGGTTCAATTTTATTTAATATTTCCTTACATTCCTTACAACTTTTAATAACGTGCTAGTAAGACTCTTGTGCTTCGATAACTCGCTAAGAATATTCTGGTTTTACCAACAGTCCATAGCTAAGCTCAAGAGCATTTAAATCACTCAGAAGTTCGTGGAGCCGTTCTGATTTCATCTAATCATTCATGGATCGCTTTTCTTCAGCCACAATAGTCCTGTGACAGAAACGACTTGTTCCTGACTCTTTCCGTCCATTTCCCACTTGATAATGGCATCAAGAGGGGAAACTTTGAAAATTTACTATTTTTGGAAGTGGAGTATATTATTTGTCATGTCTTTCCAAACAACTCTACAACTGATTATACAAACAGTGGACTCGATATTGACTGATGGTGTTGGCGTTTATCCCCTGGGTAATTTCTATTCCGTCTTTCCGTCCTAAATAAATACATATTTATTCGTTCGATTCTTAATCTGTGGCAGATAAATCCGCTTTGATTTTCAATTAATTAACGACGCATTGTGCGAGAACATAACCACACGAATTTTTCAGCTATCAAATTTCCTTATGTATGCTAAAATCCCATTAGAGTTGCCACTTATTTTTTGGTAGTTAATATTACTTATCGAAATATAAAAAGCTGATAAGCAACCATGACAATCGATTAATTTATGTGAAATTTAAATTAACAGAGCCCCGTTTAGCCTTTAAAAAATTTTGAATGCAGTAAATAGTTTATGTAATTTGTACATTTAAAATTTTAAGTGGTGGTTGAGCAACTAAGAGTTTTTAACTGCTTTAGAATAAATAAATCGGGGCAGTTCAATTTCCAAATTTTTATTACGAGTTAAAATCAAAGCCAAATTAACTCCGCAACAAAACCACGCCGAATGCAAGAAGTACAGCTTAACAACAAAAGCTTCTAGCTACAGCAGTTCTACAAAGCTCCCAAAAGCGCACGCGCGTCAAAGTAACAGTAAAGCGCATGCGAAACGGAGATAATCAAAACAAGCTAGAAACTGCTGATAAACCCGCCGCTGCTCATCCGTCTTTGGTTTGACTGCTTGGCCCAACAGTGGTTTTAATTCTAAGAAACAAAGTTCTAGAATGTGTATCGAGTGTTGTTCAGATTGCTGGAGATCTATCTCTATGAAAAAGAAATAAGAAGTGATTTGGCTTATTCCTACTTTCTAAGCATATTCCTGAAGAATAACTATTGTTTTAAGTAAAACCTTGTAGATTGGTTAAGTAAAGGAACTATAGACTTCTTTCTAAATTTTTATTGTCCTAAGTGATCACAGTTTAGAAGTTCAGATGAGGAGTGGTGCGGGAGCAGCGGCGTAGCTAAGTGGTGCCGAGTAAGCCAGAGGGGAAGAATAGGCCAAAGGAGCAGCCAGAGGAGCTGCTGCGTATTTGGCAACTACTGGAGCAGCCACGGGAGCAATGACTGGAGCAGCAGCGATTCCATTGTAGTTCCTGGCGATCACCTGGCTACTGGTGGCGGTCACGACTGGAGCAGGAGCAGCCACTACTGCAGCTGGAGCAGTGTAGGCCAGAGGAGCGGTATAAGCCAGCGGGGAAGTGTAGGCCAGAGGAGCACCAATGAGTCCTGGTTTGGCAGCTACGCAGGCAACAAGAGCGAGGACAACAACGGCCTATGAATAAATTAATTCAATTAAAATAATCCTCCATGGATCCTTTCTTAAAGGTCTTACGAATTTGAACATGTTGGATATATTTCTTTGTTTGCTTCTTCGGAAGGCTAGAAACTGTTTGATATCCAACTGCTCTTGGAGGCGCATATTTATACCCAAAACACTGCCCAGCTCTGCTCTGACTCATGATCGTTCGCATTCAGTTCATTTAAATGCTGCTACAGTCTCCCGTTACCATTTGCACTTTACCATAGTTTATGTGGTTTCCCACTGCTGAATGTGGAATAACTCTTGGTGGCCACCGAATTCGATGGCCTGAGGTCACAGACGCAGTCTCGTTTTGGTGTATAAATAGTGATATGGAAAGTGTTAAACGACATCAGACAAGTTCAAGTTTTCGAACAGAAAGCAACAATCAAATAAACCATCAAAATGTTCAAATCCGTGAGTTTAAGGAGTTTTCCATCTGTCTCGATTCCTAAATGTTTTTCTTCATCCGTAGGCTATTGTCATCCTGGCCATCGTTGCTTGTGTTGCCGCCAAACCAGGACTCCTGGGTGCTCCTCTGGCATATACCGCTCCCCTAGCCTACACTGCCCCCGCAGCTGTCGTGGCTGCTCCTGCTCCAGTCGTAACAGCCACCAGTAGCCAGGTGATCGCCAGGAACTTCAATGGAATCGCTGCTGCTCCAGTGATTGCTCCCGTAGCTGCTCCAGTGGTCGCAAAGTATACAGCTGCCCCTTTGGCCGCTCCATTGGCCTATTCTTCCCCTCTAGCTTACTCCGCACCACTGACCTACGCCGCTGCTCCTGCACCTCTCCTCATCTAAATTTTTAAGACTTGGCATGAATAAACTGAACCCAAAACGGAAAACTATGTAATCAGTCTTTTATTTCCGTTTTGTTGTAGACTAAAGTGGTATATTGAAAACATTCATTAAAAGCGGATATTCACTCTTTCTTTTATGCTTAAATGCGGTAAACGTCGGAATAGTTTCCAGATCATGTCTAAGCATTTTTTCGTCCTCATAAATTGTTCAAGGAAAAACCTTTGACCTTTGGCCTGACTTCGTCAGTTGATCACATAATCATGAGATAGGGCCATATTGCTTATGGTTAGCGGGACTCTTAGGCGGTAATAATAAAAGCACTCAAGGGGACGACTAGACTGAAAGATACCCATTGGGGCGGATACTTTTGGCTGGGATTTCTGCACTGTCATATTTTGATCAATGATATCTTCAAAGCCCCTAAGGCGAAGTGTAGATGATGGTGGGTGGTTGGAACCCCATTGATGATTGATTTCTATTCAATCTTGTTTATCTTCTTTATCTATGGGTATTAAAGCTAAAATCACTTCTTCCGGTCTAAGAAAAGTTAGCTGAAAGTTTTTCGCTGTCTCTTCTGTTAACAACAATGTCTTTATCAGGTTCAATTTTATTTAATATTTCCTTACATTCCTTACAACTTTTAATAACGTGCTAGTAAGACTCTTGTGCTTCGATAACTCGCTAAGAATATTCTGGTTTTACCAACAGTCCATAGCTAAGCTCAAGAGCATTTAAATCACTCAGAAGTTCGTGGAGCCGTTCTGATTTCATCTAATCATTCATGGATCGCTTTTCTTCAGCCACAATAGTCCTGTGACAGAAACGACTTGTTCCTGACTCTTTCCGTCCATTTCCCACTTGATAATGGCATCAAGAGGGGAAACTTTGAAAATTTACTATTTTTGGAAGTGGAGTATATTATTTGTCATGTCTTTCCAAACAACTCTACAACTGATTATACAAACAGTGGACTCGATATTGACTGATGGTGTTGGCGTTTATCCCCTGGGTAATTTCTATTCCGTCTTTCCGTCCTAAATAAATACATATTTATTCGTTCGATTCTTAATCTGTGGCAGATAAATCCGCTTTGATTTTCAATTAATTAACGACGCATTGTGCGAGAACATAACCACACGAATTTTTCAGCTATCAAATTTCCTTATGTATGCTAAAATCCCATTAGAGTTGCCACTTATTTTTTGGTAGTTAATATTACTTATCGAAATATAAAAAGCTGATAAGCAACCATGACAATCGATTAATTTATGTGAAATTTAAATTAACAGAGCCCCGTTTAGCCTTTAAAAAATTTTGAATGCAGTAAATAGTTTATGTAATTTGTACATTTAAAATTTTAAGTGGTGGTTGAGCAACTAAGAGTTTTTAACTGCTTTAGAATAAATAAATCGGGGCAGTTCAATTTCCAAATTTTTATTACGAGTTAAAATCAAAGCCAAATTAACTCCGCAACAAAACCACGCCGAATGCAAGAAGTACAGCTTAACAACAAAAGCTTCTAGCTACAGCAGTTCTACAAAGCTCCCAAAAGCGCACGCGCGTCAAAGTAACAGTAAAGCGCATGCGAAACGGAGATAATCAAAACAAACTAGAAACTGCTGATAAACCCGCTGCTGCTCATCCGTCTTTGGTTTGACTGCTTGGCCCAACAGTGGTTTTAATTCTAAGAAACAAAGTTCTAGAATGTGTATCGAGTGTTGTTCAGATTGCTGGAGATCTATCTCTATGAAAAAGAAATAAGAAGTGATTTGGCTTATTCCTACTTTCTAAGATATTCCTGAAGAATAACTATTGTTTTAAGTAAAACCTTGTAGATTGGTTAAGTAAAGGAACTATAGACTTCTTTCTAAATTTTTATTGTCCTAAGTGATCACAGTTTAGAAGTTCAGATGAGGAGTGGTGCGGAGCAGCGGCGTAGCTAAGTGGTGCCGAGTAAGCCAGAGGGGAAGAATAGGCCAAAGGAGCAGCCAGAGGAGCTGCTGCGTATTTGGCAACTACTGGAGCAGCCACGGGAGCAATGACTGGAGCAGCAGCGATTCCATTGTAGTTCCTGGCGATCACCTGGCTACTGGTGGCGGTCACGACTGGAGCAGGAGCAGCCACTACTGCAGCTGGAGCAGTGTAGGCCAGAGGAGCGGTATAAGCCAGCGGGGAAGTGTAGGCCAGAGGAGCACCAATGAGTCCTGGTTTGGCAGCTACGCAGGCAACAAGAGCGAGGACAACAACGGCCTATGAATAAATTAATTCAATTAAAATAATCCTCCATGGATCCTTTCTTAAAGGTCTTACGAATTTGAACATGTTGGATATATTTCTTTGTTTGCTTCTTCGGAAGGCTAGAAACTGTTTGATATCCAACTGCTCTTGGAGGCGCATATTTATACCCAAAACACTGCCCAGCTCTGCTCTGACTCATGATCGTTCGCATTCAGTTCATTTAAATGCTGCTACAGTCTCCCGTTACCATTTGCACTTTACCATAGTTTATGTGGTTTCCCACTGCTGAATGTGGAATAACTCTTGGTGGCCACCGAATTCGATGGCCTGAGGTCACAGACGCAGTCTCGTTTTGGTGTATAAATAGTGATATGGAAAGTGTTAAACGACATCAGACAAGTTCAAGTTTTCGAACAGAAAGCAACAATCAAATAAACCATCAAAATGTTCAAATCCGTGAGTTTAAGGAGTTTTCCATCTGTCTCGATTCCTAAATGTTTTTCTTCATCCGTAGGCTATTGTCATCCTGGCCATCGTTGCTTGTGTTGCCGCCAAACCAGGACTCCTGGGTGCTCCTCTGGCATATACCGCTCCCCCTAGCCTACACTGCCCCCGCAGCTGTCGTGGCTGCTCCTGCTCCAGTCGTAACAGCCACCAGTAGCCAGGTGATCGCCAGGAACTTCAATGGAATCGCTGCTGCTCCAGTGATTGCTCCCGTAGCTGCTCCAGTGGTCGCAAAGTATACAGCTGCCCCTTTGGCCGCTCCATTGGCCTATTCTTCCCCTCTAGCTTACTCCGCACCACTGACCTACGCCGCTGCTCCTGCACCTCTCCTCATCTAAATTTTTAAGACTTGGCATGAATAAACTGAACCCAAAACGGAAAACTATGTAATCAGTCTTTTATTTCCGTTTTGTTGTAGACTAAAGTGGTATATTGAAAACATTCATTAAAAGCGGATATTCACTCTTTCTTTTATGCTTAAATGCGGTAAACGTCGGAATAGTTTCCAGATCATGTCTAAGCATTTTTTCGTCCTCATAAATTGTTCAAGGAAAAACCTTTGACCTTTGGCCTGACTTCGTCAGTTGATCACATAATCATGAGATAGGGCCATATTGCTTATGGTTAGCGGGAAGTCTTAGGCGGTAATAATAAAAGCACTCAAGGGGACGACTAGACTAAAGATACCCCTTGGGGCGGAAACTCTTGGCATGGGATTTCTGCACTGTCATATTTTGATCAATGATATCTTCAAAGTCCCTAAGGCGAACTGTAGATGATGGTGGGTGGTTGGAACCCCATTGATGATTGATTTCTTTTCAATCTTGTTTATCTTCTTTATCTGTGGGTATTAAAGCTAAAATCACTTCTTCCGGTCTAAGAAAAGTTAGCTGAAAGTTTTTCGCTGTCTCTTCTGTTAAGAACAATGTCTTTATCAGGTTAAATTTTATTTAATATTATATATATTTCCTTACATTCCTTACAACTTTTAATAACGTGCTAGTAAGACTCTTGTGCTTCGATAACTCGCTAAGAATATTCTGGTTTTACCAACAGTCCATAGCTAAGCTCAAGAGCATTTAAATCACTCAGAAGTTCGTGGAGCCGTTCTGATTTCATCTAATCATTCATGGATCGCTTTTCTTCAGCCACAATAGTCCTGTGACAGAAACGACTTGTTCCTGACTCTTTCCGTCCATTTCCCACTTGATAATGGCATCAAGAGGGGAAACTTTGAAAATTTACTATTTTTGGAAGTGGAGTATATTATTTGTCATGTCTTTCCAAACAACTCTACAACTGATTATACAAACAGTGGACTCGATATTGACTGATGGTGTTGGCGTTTATCCCCTGGGTAATTTCTATTCCGTCTTTCCGTCCTAAATAAATACATATTTATTCGTTCGATTCTTAATCTGTGGCAGATAAATCCGCTTTGATTTTCAATTAATTAACGACGCATTGTGCGAGAACATAACCACACGAATTTTTCAGCTATCAAATTTCCTTATGTATGCTAAAATCCCATTAGAGTTGCCACTTATTTTTTGGTAGTTAATATTACTTATCGAAATATCAAAAGCTGATAAGCAACCATGACAATCGATTAATTTATGTGAAATTTAAATTACCAGAGCCCCGTTTAGCCTTTAAAAAATTTTGAATGCGGTAAATAGTTTATGTAATTTGAACATTTAAAATTTTAAGTGGTGGTTGAGCAACTAAGAGTTTTTAACTGCTTTAGAATAAATAAATCGGGGCAGTTCAATTTCCAAATTTTTATTACGAGTTAAAATCAAAGCCAAATTAACTCCGCAACAAAACCACGCCGAATGCAAGAAGTACAGCTTAACAACAAAAGCTTCTAGCTACAGCAGTTCTACAAAGCTCCCAAAAGCGCACGCGCGTCAAAGTAACAGTAAAGCGCATGCGAAACGGAGATAATCAAAACAAACTAGAAACTGCTGATAAACCCGCTGCTGCTCATCCGTCTTTGGTTTGACTGCTTGGCCCAACAGTGGTTTTAATTCTAAGAAACAAAGTTCTAGAATGTGTATCGAGTGTTGTTCAGATTGCTGGAGATCTATCTCTATGAAAAAGAAATAAGAAGTGATTTGGCTTATTCCTACTTTCTAAGCATATTCCTGAAGAATAACTATTGTTTTAAGTAAAACCTTGTAGATTGGTTAAGTAAAGGAACTATAGACTTCTTTCTAAATTTTTATTGTCCTAAGTGATCACAGTTTAGAAGTTCAGATGAGGAGTGGTGCGGGAGCAGCGGCGTAGCTAAGTGGTGCCGAGTAAGCCAGAGGGGAAGAATAGGCCAAAGGAGCAGCCAGAGGAGCTGCTGCGTATTTGGCAACTACTGGAGCAGCCACGGGAGCAATGACTGGAGCAGCAGCGATTCCATTGTAGTTCCTGGCGATCACCTGGCTACTGGTGGCGGTCACGACTGGAGCAGGAGCAGCCACTACTGCAGCTGGAGCAGTGTAGGCCAGAGGAGCGGTATAAGCCAGCGGGGAAGTGTAGGCCAGAGGAGCACCAATGAGTCCTGGTTTGGCAGCTACGCAGGCAACAAGAGCGAGGACAACAACGGCCTATGAATAAATTAATTCAATTAAAATAATCCTCCATGGATCCTTTCTTAAAGGTCTTACGAATTTGAACATGTTGGATATATTTCTTTGTTTGCTTCTTCGGAAGGCTAGAAACTGTTTGATATCCAACTGCTCTTGGAGGCGCATATTTATACCCAAAACACTGCCCAGCTCTGCTCTGACTCATGATCGTTCGCATTCAGTTCATTTAAATGCTGCTACAGTCTCCCGTTACCATTTGCACTTTACCATAGTTTATGTGGTTTCCCACTGCTGAATGTGGAATAACTCTTGGTGGCCACCGAATTCGATGGCCTGAGGTCACAGACGCAGTCTCGTTTTGGTGTATAAATAGTGATATGGAAAGTGTTAAACGACATCAGACAAGTTCAAGTTTTCGAACAGAAAGCAACAATCAAATAAACCATCAAAATGTTCAAATCCGTGAGTTTAAGGAGTTTTCCATCTGTCTCGATTCCTAAATGTTTTTCTTCATCCGTAGGCTATTGTCATCCTGGCCATCGTTGCTTGTGTTGCCGCCAAACCAGGATTCTTGAGTGCTCCTCTGGCATATACCGCTCCTCTAGCCTACACTGCCCCCGCAGCTGTCGTGGCTGCTCCTGCTCCAGTCGTAACAGCCACCAGTAGCCAGGTGATCGCCAGGAACTTCAATGGAATCGCTGCTGCTCCAGTGATTGCTCCCGTAGCTGCTCCAGTGGTCGCAAAGTATACAGCTGCCCCTTTGGCCGCTCCATTGGCCTATTCTTCCCCTCTAGCTTACTCCGCACCACTGACCTACGCCGCTGCTCCTGCACCTCTCCTCATCTAAATTTTTAAGACTTGGCATGAATAAACTGAACCCAAAACGGAAAACTATGTAATCAGTCTTTTATTTCCGTTTTGTTGTAGACTAAAGTGGTATATTGAAAACATTCATTAAAAGCGGATATTCACTCTTTCTTTTATGCTTAAATGCGGTAAACGTCGGAATAGTTTCCAGATCATGTCTAAGCATTTTTTCGTCCTCATAAATTGTTCAAGGAAAAACCTTTGACCTTTGGCCTGACTTCGTCAGTTGATCACATAATCATGAGATAGGGCCATATTGCTTATGGTTAGCGGGACGTCTTAGGCGGTAATAATAAAAGCACTCAAGGGGACGACTAGACTGAAGATACCCCTTGGGGCGGAAACTCTTGGCATGGGATTTCTGCACTGTCATATTTTGATCAATGATATCTTCAAAGTCCCTAAGGCGAACTGTAGATGATGGTGGGTGGTTGGAACCCCATTGATGATTGATTTCTTTTCAATCTTGTTTATCTTCTTTATCTGTGGGTATTAAAGCTAAAATCACTTCTTCCGGTCTAAGAAAAGTTAGCTGAAAGTTTTTCGCTGTCTCTTCTGTTAAGAACAATGTCTTTATCAGGTTAAATTTTATTTAATATTATATATATTTCCTTACATTCCTTACAACTTTTAATAACGTGCTAGTAAGACTCTTGAGCTTCGATAACTCGCTAAGAATATTCTGGTTTTACCAACAGTCCATAGCTAAGCTCAAGAGCATTTAAATCACTCAGAAGTTCGTGGAGCCGTTCTGATTTCATCTAATCATTCATGGATCGCTTTTCTTCAGCCACAATAGTCCTGTGACAGAAACGACTTGTTCTTGACTCTTTCCGTCCATTTCCCACTTGATAATGGCATCAAGAGGGGAAACTTTGAGAATTTACTATTTTTGGAAGTGGAGTATATCATTTGTCATGTCTTTCCATACAACTCTACAATTGATTATACAAACAGTGGACTCGACATCGACTGATGGTGTTGGCGTTTATCCCCTGGGTAATTTCTATTCCGTCTTTCCGTCCTAAATAAATACATATTTATTCGTTCGATTCTTAATCTGTGGCAGATAAATCCGCTTTGATTTTCAATTAATTAACGACGCATTGTGCGAGAACATAACCACACGAATTTTTCAGCTATCAAATTTCCTTAGGTATGTCAAAATCCCATTGGAGTTGCCACTTATTTTTTGGTAGTTAATATTACTTATCGAAATATCAAAAGCTGATAAGCAACTATGACAATCGATTAATTTATGTGAAATTTAAATTACCAGAGCCCCGTTTAGCCTTTAAAAAATTTTGAATGCGGTAAATAGTTTATGTAATTTGAACATTTAAAATTTTAAGTGGTGGTTGAGCAACTAAGAGTTTTTAACTGCTTTAGAATAAATAAATCGGGGCAGTTCAATTTCCAAATTTTTATTACGAGTTAAAATCAAAGCCAAATTAACTCCGCAACAAAACCACGCCGAATGCAAGAAGTACAGCTTAACAACAAAAGCTTCTAGCTACAGCAGTTCTACAAAGCTCCCAAAAGCGCACGCGCGTCAAAGTAACAGTAAAGCGCATGCGAAACGGAGATAATCAAAACAAGCTAGAAACTGCTGATAAACCCGCCGCTGCTCATCCGTCTTTGGTTTGACTGCTTGGCCCAACAGTGGTTTTAATTCTAAGAAACAAAGTTCTAGAATGTGTATAGTGTGTTGTTCAGATTGCTGGAGATCTATCTCTATGAAAAAGAAACAAGAAGTGATTCGGCTTATTCCTGAAGAATAACTATTGTTTTAAGTAAAGCCTTGTAGATTGGTTAAGTAAAGGAACTATAGACTTCTTTCTAAATTTTTATTGTCCTAAGTGATCACAGTTTAGAAGTTCAGATGAGGAGTGGTGCGGGAGCAGCGGCGTAGCTAAGTGGTGCCGAGTAAGCCAGAGGGGAAGAATAGGCCAATGGAGCAGCCAGAGGAGATGCTGCGTATTTGGCAACTACTGGAGCAGCCACGGGAGCAATGACTGGAGCAGCAGCGATTCCATTGTAGTTCCTGGCGATCACCTGGCTACTGGTGGCGGTCACGACTGGAGCAGGAGCAGCCACTACTGCAGCTGGAGCAGTGTAGGCCAGAGGAGCGGTATAAGCCAGCGGGGAAGTGTAGGCCAGAGGAGCACCAATGAGTCCTGGTTTGGCAGCTACGCAGGCAACAAGAGCGAGGACAACAACGGCCTATGAATAAATTAATTCAATTAAAATAATCCTCCATGGATCCTTTCTTAAAGGTCTTACGAATTTGAACATGTTGGATATATTTCTTTGTTTGCTTCTTCGGAAGGCTAGAAACTGTTTGATATCCAACTGCTCTTGGAGGCGCATATTTATACCCAAAACACTGCCCAGCTCTGCTCTGACTCATGATCGTTCGCATTCAGTTCATTTAAATGCTGCTACAGTCTCCCGTTACCATTTGCACTTTACCATAGTTTATGTGGTTTCCCACTGCTGAATGTGGAATAACTCTTGGTGGCCACCGAATTCGATGGCCTGAGGTCACAGACGCAGTCTCGTTTTGGTGTATAAATAGTGATATGGAAAGTGTTAAACGACATCAGACAAGTTCAAGTTTTCGAACAGAAAGCAACAATCAAATAAACCATCAAAATGTTCAAATCCGTGAGTTTAAGGAGTTTTCCATCTGTCTCGATTCCTAAATGTTTTTCTTCATCCGTAGGCTATTGTCATCCTGGCCATCGTTGCTTGTGTTGCCGCCAAACCAGGATTCCTGGGTGCTCCTCTGGCATATACCGCTCCTCTAGCCTACACTGCCCCCGCAGCTGTCGTGGCTGCTCCTGCTCCAGTCGTAACAGCCACCAGTAGCCAGGTGATCGCAAGGAACTTCAATGGAATCGCTGCTGCTCCAGTGATTGCTCCTGTAGCTGCTCCAGTGGTCGCAAAGTACGCAGCTGCTCCGCTGGCGTACTCCTCCCCGCTAGCTTACACATCTCCTTTGGGCTACAGTGCCTTGCCATCTGCTCCAGTTCTTCTCTAAGAAGCTGTAAAATAAAAAAACAAATCGAACTCGAATTCTTCTTCTTGTTTTCGTCGTCCGCTAATTGGATTTACCGTTGGCATACTAAGACAGCCAATGCCCACAACCTGCTGATGGGAGATTTGAAAGTTTTCATATGCTGGTCACGTAATGGCTATAAAAATTATTGTCAGCTCAGCGGCAGCTGCCGTCCAATGTTTGTTACATTAAATTGTGCGAAATTGATTTGTATTCGAGGTCTATTTTGCTTTTCAGCTACGGGTACAGGGCATGGCAATTATGTCAAGGTCAAAAAATGACCTGTGACCGCTGGGAACCCTTGAATTCGCACTCGTAGGAAGTGCCAAACAGCTTGTTGTAGACCTAATCAACTGAAATTTGGCTTCCTTTTTGGAAGTGGCGTTTGCCGTAAATACCGTTTTTTAATAGCGACGTGCATCGGGAGTATTGATTGTAAGCCATCTAAGCTGCTGTAAGGCGCGTAGCATTCTTAAAGGTTGTGGAATAAAAATATATTGAGTGCATCCATTAATGATAAACCTTGTTATTCAAATTGGATGGATATATGTACTTCGGAAGGTGTCGTTATATGTAAACGATATCGTTTTCGGCATCAAAAGCCTGTACTTAGGTTTCGATTTCGGGAAGAGCTTAAAGATGGTCTAGGACTTTTATCTACAACGTTTTAAATTTCTTATTTTGTGTTTTTTTTGTTAGTCTTGCTTGTTATGGTTTATCGAAGAATTTACTAAGCTTATTTAATGCTTTAAGCCAGTTAGCTTTGCTTTCTGTTTTATTTCCTGGAACTTTCTTTCAATAGTACTTTAATTGTGATAGACATTAATGGATCACGCATGCAAATTAAAAATGAAACACGAAAACACACTTCAGTTTCATATATTCTGGGATCTTTTTATGAACTTTTATAAGATATGCACAGAAATCATTATTCATTCGGGGGTCTTCGGGGTCTTTAAATAATTTTTTGTTGTTTATAAACGTTACTTGTAAGTTTGGAGTAATTGTATTAATTGGAACAGGTTGATAGATCTTACAAGGTGTACATAATATATTTTTGATTTTTGATCTCGATAGATTGTTATGATTAGGTATGCATTATTCTGTAATGCTTGCTTAACATTATTAAAAAATGTATTTCTTACACAACATTTAAAACGTTATTATGAAATTGGAAATTGTTAAATTCAGATTTAGCTAAAAACAAGAGGAAACGCTATAGTCGAGTGCCGCGACTATAAGATACCCGTTACTGTTTTACACAATTTTAAAATATTTATTTTGCTAGTTGAAAATTTATTTGCTGCCCATGACAGGCCTTATAACCTTAATTTCTTTATAAATAGAGAAATAATGTTCCGATTTGAAAAATCTTTGGTAAATCGATAGATATTAACAAAAATAAGTAATACAAGGTCAAACGAAGGCATTCATAATAATATTATAGACGCCACAGTTTTCCGCGGTTTGTGGGCGTTAGAGTAGGCGTGGCCGGCTGCAACTTCGTGGCAAGTTGCAGACGCATCTCTTAAATACGTGTTCCTAAGCAGTAGCTCTTATAGTTTTTAAGATTTTTGCATTTTTGGTTTTTTGGGTTTTGTGGGCGTTAGAGTGGGCGTGGCTTGTTCGAAAAAAAACAATTCACATTGGGAGCATCATTAAAACCTACATGCTTAATCCAAACTTTCTATCTCTTATAGTTACCGAGATATCTGCTTTTCTAGAAATTCCGAAAACCGGCTTTTGAGCCTTGTGGGCGTATGGGTGGGTGTGGCCGGATAGTAAAACAACTGTAAGATAAGCTGGCATCTAAAGATTATACTTTCTGAATTTCAACTTTCTAGCTCCAATTTAAATCCTATATTTCTTATCAATTCATAAGATCTTTATTAAAAATACATATATCGTAAATACTTTGTATATATCATATACGTGTTTAATAAAATATAAAAAAGGCGTAAAAACACTATTCCTACGACAAACATAACATAACATAAGGATACAAAAATAATTCAAACACCGCTAAAAATTGACTTTTTCTTCTTTTTTGAGCCTTTGCAATCAATGAATGAATACCATATACCACTTTAGTCTAAAACAAATTGGAAATAAAAGATAAATGACATAGGTTTCCGTTTTGGGTTCAGTTTATTCATGCCAAGTCTTAAAAATTTAGATGAGGAGAGGTGCAGGAGCAGCGGCGTAGGTCAGTGGTGCGGAGTAAGCTAGAGGGGAAGAATAGGCCAATGGAGCGGCCAAAGGGGCAGCTGTATACTTTGCGACCACTGGAGCAGCTACGGGAGCAATCACTGGAGCAGCAGCGATTCCATTGAAGTTCCTGGCGATCACCTGGCTACTGGTGGCTGTTACGACTGAAGCAGGAGCAGCCACGACAGCTGCGGGGGCAGTGTAGGCTAGAGGAGCGGTATATGCCAGAGGAGCACCCAGGAGTCCTGGTTTGGCGGCAACACAAGCAACGATGGCCAGGATGACAATAGCCTACGGATGAAGAAAAACATTTAGGAATCGAGACAGATGGAAAACTCCTTAAACTCACGGATTTGAACATTTTGATGGTTTATTTGATTGTTGCTTTCTGTTCGAAAACTTGAACTTGTCTGATGTCGTTTAACACTTTCCATATCACTATTTATACACCAAAACGAGACTGCGTCTGTGACCTCAGGCCATCGAATTCGGTGGCCACCAAGAGTTATTCCACATTCAGCAGTGGGAAACCACATAAACTATGGTAAAGTGCAAATGGTAACGGGAGACTGTAGCAGCATTTAAATTAACTGAATGCGTACGATCATGAGTCAGAGCAGAGCTGGGCAGTGTTTTGGGTATAAATATGCGCCTCCAAGAGCAGTTGGATATCAAACAGTTTCTAGCCTTCCGAAGAAGCAAACAAAGAAATATATCCAACATGTTCAAATACGTAAGACCTTTAAGAAAGGACCCATGGTGGATTATTTTAATTGAATTAATTTATTCATAGGCCGTTGTTGTCCTCGCTCTTGTTGCCTGCGTAGCTGCCAAACCAGGACTCATTGGTGCTCCTCTGGCCTACACTTCACCGCTGGCTTATACTGCTCCTCTGGCCTACACTGCTCCAGCTGCAGTAGTGGCTGCTCCTGCTCCAGTCGTGACCGCCACCAGTAGCCAGGTGATCGCCAGGAACTACAATGGAATCGCTGCTGCTCCAGTCATTGCTCCCGTGGCTGCTCCAGTAGTTGCCAAATACGCAGCAGCTCCTCTGGCTGCTCCATTGGCCTATTCTTCCCCTCTGGCTTACTCGGCACCACTTAGCTACGCCGCTGCTCCCGCACCACTCCTCATCTGAACTACTAAACTGTGATCACTTAGGACAATAAAAATTTAGAAAGAAGTCTATAGTTCCTTTACTTAACCAATCTACAAGGTTTTACTTAAAACAATAGTTATTCTTCAGGAATATGCTTAGAAAGTAGGAATAAGCCAAATCACTTCTTATATCTTTTTCGTAGAGATAGATCTCCAGCAATCTGCACAACACACGATACATATTCTAGAACTTTGTTTCTTGGAATTAAAACCACTTAGAATTTTAAATTTACACATTACATAAACTATTTTCCGTATTCAAAATTTTGTAAAGGCTACACGGGGCTCTATTAATTTAAATTTCACGTAAATTAACCGATGGTCATAGTTGCTTATCAGCTTTTGATATTTCAATAATATTAATATTTAATAATATTAACTACCAAAAAATAAGTGGCAACTCCAATGGGATTTTGGCATACCTAAGGAAATTTGATAGAAGAAAAATTAGTGTGGTTTATATTCTCGCTCAATGTGTCGTTAATTAATTGAAAATCGAAGATTAACCATCGAATTGAAGAAGACAAACGCCCGATATGAATGACTTATCTGTCACAGATTTAGAAGCAAACGAAGAAATATTTATTTAAGGATCTCGATATGCAGAACATTGCCGAAAGACGGTATGTAAATTAGCCAGGGGATAAAAAGAGCCTTTATATCCCCTCCCAAAAGTGGTGGTGCCAAAACCATCAGTCGATGTCGAGTCCACCGTTAGTATAGTCGTAGAATGGTATGGAAAGCGGAAAGTGGAAATGGAATCGCCGCTGCTCCAGTCATTGCTCCCGTGGCTGCTTCCACTCCTCATCTGAACTAATAAACTGAACTACTGATCAATTAGGATAATAAAAATTTAGAATGAATCCAATCTACACTGCATTAGGGATATGCTCAGAAAGTAGGTCTAAGCCGAACTTATTTTTGTTTCCTTGGGAAAAGTTTAAGCACGTTTAAATAAATTATTTTTATTTTCATGGAATTAGATTCCTCGCAATTTGAATAAATCATTTATTCACCTTCTGATAAATTTCGAAATAAGAACTCTTGGGCGCAATTTTGCAAAAATGGCATAATAGCATGACAAACTAAACAACATCGTTTATATGCGTTCACTTATTTAATCTGGATTTACATACATTTAAATATTCCATTGATTTTAATCGATAACTGGTATGTCAACGGTATAGAAACGATACACCTTCTAGAACATTGTTTCTTATTAGGGTTAAAATAACTTAGAATTTTAAAGGTACAAATTACATAAAAGATTTTTCGTATTATGAATTTTGTAAAGGCAAACCGGAGCTATATTAATTTGATTCTTACGTAAATTAATTGATATTTAGATAAGTAAATACCAAGCCATAAGTGGCAGCTCCAATGCGATTTTTGCGTAATAACAGTAATAATTTTAGCCGATGCCCACCAAGTTTTGGTACCCATGCCGATCGATTTTGGCTTTGATGAGAATGCTGCGCCCAGGCATGTGATCGCCTACTTAAACACAATGCTAACTTACAAAGTTGAGATTTACTTTAAATGGTGATGGAGAATGATTAAAAAATATCCATATAAAAGCATTACAATAAAGTGAAAAAGGGTAAGAACAATTATATATTCAAATTAAAAACCGTCATTAGTGTTTTGTTTCGGTTTGTTCTAAATTATCACAGCTGATGATGTTTAGTGGTGCCGAGTAAGCCAGAAGGGAGGAATAGCCCAATGGAACAGCCAGAGGATATGCTGCTTACTTAAGAACTACTGGAGCAGCCACTGCAGCAGCAGGAATTCTGTGGGGTTCCTGTGTACCACGTGGCTTCTCGCGGCTGAGCCTATTGCAGCAGGAGCACCGACCCTTGCCTGGGGAGCAGTGTAGGTCAAAGGTGTGGCCAGGGGAGAAGTGTAGGCAAGAGAAGCATCCAGGATTCCTGGCTTAGCAGCAACGCAGGCAAAGATGTTGAGGACAACAACGGTCTATTGAAAAATCACCTGGGTTAATATAAGCCCTAATAGTCTTCGCCTAAAGGACTTACGTATTTGGCCCAGCTTTTAATGGTCAGGCCACAGACGCAGTCTCAATGTCGTTAGAACCCATAATAGTGATAAGAAAAGTGTTGAACGATATCAGATAAGTTTACGTTCGAACCGAAAGCACGAAGTCAATCAACCAATGAATATGAAGTGTTTTTCCCTCTGTCTTGTTTCATAAATGTTTTTTCTCATCCGCAGGGTATTGTCATCGTGGCCATCGGAGCTCTGACCTACACTGCTACCGCTGCATTGGTTGCTGCTCCTGCTCCAGTTGTTACAGCCACCCGGTAATCAAGTGATCTTCAGGTTCCAACAGTTGCGAAGTACTCCTCTGGCTACTCCATTCAATGCTCCGAAGGCTATTCCTCCCCAAAGGAGTATTCCGAAAAAATTCAGCTATCCTGTTGCTCGGGCGCCTCTCCTCTTCTAAATTGTGATTACCTCGGACAAAAAAAGGAAATTGATAATAAATAAACTAAATAATAAATCATTAAATTTAATCACGGATAATTTTATTTTAATTATTACCTTAGGTCTTTCGCGATTAGCTGAATGGAAAAAACTTTTCCCCGCTTCCCTCAGTAGCAACTGAAGTATTTTTAGAAAACTGTTCACAATCCAAGTTTCACCAAGAAGGAACGCTGTGGTTGTATGCCGCGACTAAAAGATAATCATATCGGGCGGCCTTTCTTACAGATACCTTTAATTTATTAGACGCCAACTTTAATATTTTCGACATTACTATCCGTATAACGCCTTGTCAGTACAAGTAATGCGTTAAGAGTTCTATATTTCTGGACAAATTCATTTACGAATTCAGAAATATATTATTAACTCCTCAAAAACTGAGGCTATATTATAAAATAATTTCACTGCAAAGGGTAAAAACGGGCTTGCTAAAGGCTTCTTCCATTTTAGTTTAAAATCAGTAGAAAATGTATTTTACAACTTAGGTAAGAAGTTGACAGTTTTTTTTTGTGTGTTTCGACCATTTGTTCCTGGGCCCTTTTTTTTAGTTTCGGCTTTTCCGCTTATCTAAAACGCTTTCATGGCGCATTTCATGCATTGATGCACAATTTAAATAGCCATTTTTGCGTTCGCGCGTTTAGATAGGAGAAGGCAGTTCCTTGCCAGCTGCCAAAAGCCAAAGGAAGAGCCGGAAAAAAATCTCCGGCATATGTTATCGCCTGCCACAGGGCTGAAAATCCCCACATCCTCAAGGATTTTCGCGTTGGCGCTTTCTTTTCCCTTTCTCGTTTTCCCGAGCGCGTTTCCTTTCCATGGGTTGCCTTTAATTTGATTAGTTGCAACTTGTGATTACGAAAACCGAAAATTGCCGAAAGAAGCAAACTCGCTGCATAATTAAGTTTACCCGCCAGGTGAGAGTCACGCCCCAACCAAAAAATCTGCAACTGCAACCAACAAAAAAAGTATTTAAAATAGCGTACAAAAAATGTATAAACGCGACTTTTGCGTTCTCTCGTCTAAATAATTAAAAGTTCGCCCTTGCCCAGCGTCCACGCCCTTTTTTTGTCGGTTGCGTTTTTGTTTGCCATTTTGTAATTGCTGTTAATGGCAAAAACAACCAAAATGGTACACAACGTCGACTGTGAATCCGGAGCGGGAAAAGCGAAAAATCTCCCAGCTCTACACGAATTTTGCATTAAAAAAGCCCGCTCATGTAAAAACAGGGAGTTAAAAAAATGTATTTTTCTTGGAAACGAATAGTTCCATACCCTACAAAAGTTTTTTCTACAAGAATATATATAAATATCCTTTGTCTTTAGATATTTATAAATTTTCTCTTTGAATTGGTATCTTTAAAGAACAAAAGAAGTTCTTAAAAGGCAAATTCATTATGAATATGTTTGATCACGCATACAAACATTAATAATAAATCAAAAATACGTAATATTTAATGCTTAATAATAAAAGCTATATCAGCTATATAAGTTTAAGAAATATAAGTGTATTTTAAATTCTATTTAAATTTTTTTAACGCAAACAAAACAAACAATTTCAGCTCATAGTTTAGATGTCAGTTAAAAGTTTTTGCTTATTGTCAGTTTACGATTTTTAACGGAAATTTGTACAAACTGTTTCGAGTAATAAACATGATTTAAAGTAAGATTGTTTTTATGAAATATCATACTAAACTTATATATATATATATATTTGTCTCGCAAT